CCTTTCCCATTTCCTAGCAATCAGTACAATCTCGATTCCTGATTCTGCTTTGATTGCTCCCATCATATCATGTTTATGTGGTAATGGATCTAACCCCCCTTTTTTTATATAAAAAGGGAAATTGCTTGGTTTTAACGAAGAGAGAAAAACAACAGAATTGCTACTTTAGCTTTACATTTTTTTCAGCGGCTTGAACTGCAGAATCTGTTTGCAGACGTTTATTCAAAAAGGGCTGTTTGTGCTCTCCGATCTCTGGTGGTGGGTCCAAGGCTGTCAATGTTCTGGGCCAAAGCTGTGTCTCAGTCCCTCCTCCTTCCTCAACGCTTCTGCACTTGTCCCTGCATTTGTCACCTCGCGGAGTTCACATCTTCCTACAGGAAAGCAATGGCCGCCTCCCCTTCACCCTTCGTATAGGTCCTACTGACAGAAATGACAAATGACCATGTCTGCCTGTAGGAAAGCCAAAAGGTGGGCACATGGCTACCTTGAATAAAAGTTAGCCAAGAAGGGGAGTGTGAATATGGGGTAGACAGCCTGAGTATCGTGGTGACCACAGAGTGTCTGAAACTTGGGGGTCCCATTTTATCTCATTGTACGGTGAAGGGGTATCCCGGTCCTTAGGACATCTTCAGTTTTGTACAAATGTTTTCTGTTCATCTTTGCAAAATTACCCTGGCTGTTCAGTTTGCTCATGCCTGAAGGAACTTTCCACCTTAGATTTCCAGTAAATCAGAAGCTATTCATGTTGCATGACATGGTCTAGTGGCTCATAGTAGTTAGAGGGACAGAGACTGGCTTCCGAGGCCTGAACTGAATGAGGATAAAGTTATGATTATTCACAGCACTGTGGTAAGTGCTACCCAGCCAGCATTGTGGATCATCACTGCAGTTGTTACTGTCAGTACTTATTGATAAGACACACCTAGAGAGTTGCCGCCCTGTACCAGCCACTGTGTGAATGGCTGCCAGAGACACACTGTGGAAACAAGTTAGATATGGAGATTTATCACCCCAACAAAGCCAGCCAGGAAGGCAGCAAAGCAAAGTAGGAAGGTAACTCCAGGAAAAGGTGACAAGGTCTGGGACCATCTCCCTGGAGAAACAATTTAGAGCAGAGAAAACTTGGCTAAAGACTTATACTTCTAAATATCCAATGACCAGTGAGATATTCTTGGCAAAATTATCATTTTATGGAAAAAAAACCACATCATAGGTACCTTTATCATAGAGTCAGTGATGAAAATTGTTGCAGAATTTGCAGGTTTTTATTTTCCCCTGACAGACGACTCTCTGTCTAATTCTCCTCGGAGTTGACCCTCAGTGGGGAAGTTGCTAGGCTCAATGCATTTTTTTTTTTTTGTGACAGAGTTTCTCTGTGTAGCCCTGGCTGTCCTAGAACTCACTTTGTAGACCAGGCTGGCCTCAAACTCACTGAAATCCACCTGTCTCTGCCTCTCAAGGGCTGGAATTAAAGGTATGTGCCACCACCACCTGCTGTGGGATGTTCTGTATGGCAAATGTGTTGCTCTGATTGGTCAATAAATAAAACACTGATTGGCCATTGGCTAGGCAGGAAGTGTAGGCGGGACAAGGAGGAGAATAAAGCTGGGAAGTAGAAGGCTGAGTCAGAGAGACACTGCCAGCCGCCACGATGAGAAACAGCATGTGAAGATGCCGGTAAGCCATGAGCCACGTGGCAAGGTATAGATTAATAGAAATGGATTAATTTAAGCTGTAAGAACAGTTAGCAAGAAGCCTGCCACGGCCATACAGTTTGTAACCAATATAAGTCTCTGTATTTACTTGGTTGGGTTTGAGCGGCTGTGGGACTGGCAGGTGAGAGAGATTTGTCCTGACTGTGGGCCAGGCAGGAAACCTCTAGCTACAACCACCCAGAGGTTCAATGCACTTTTATTTCATGTTCTTCTTCACTCTGTCTTTGTTTTATCTTTCGTTGTGGTCTTAATGTGATAACCCTCCTCCAAATCATCCAGGCAATGCCTCTCCTTGCAGTTCTCACAAGGAGAGTAATACGGTGCCCTTCGGGGATTGGAAACAAAAACATCTGGGCAATTATTAAAAATATCACTCTAAACTATAACTTAATCCAGGGTGTAAGAATATCATAGAAAATAATATTAAGTTGTATTTCCTGTGTATGATGTGTTATCCACTGAGCTGCATCTGGGATGACGGAAATGTTTTCTGTTTGCTTGGTTTTGACTTTCTTTCCTGAAGATGGAAAGAAGCCTTGTGTGTATTCTCACTGTTTCTTCTCTTACATATCCCTCTATTCACTATAAGTTAGATCTCTTTATTTACTAAATATAATCGAAGCATATTTCTTAATTAAGGACTTAATAATTTTTAAGCATCAGACCCTCTGGTTTGTTTAAAAGTTAGTTTTTATTTGTTTGTTTTTAAGAACAATTTCCTGGGAGCAGCAGTTTTTTACTAGGGGTTTTACCTCGGGCAGCCTTGAGGCAAGAACTAGGCAAGCCCTTGCTGTGTACCTAAGATCTATGCCTTGCCAGAGATGAGACAGTTCCTGTTTTGCCTATTTGTCCTTCGGGTTGTTTTAAAGTCAAGGAGTATCTAAGACA